AGGTAACCTCTGACGTGCAAGAAGCCCTACATAGCCCTGTTTTCCCTATCATATACACTATCTCAATTTCCTGTCTCCCTAGACTATGACACAATATCATACTGCAGCCCACAATCAAGATTCTCCATTCATCATCTTCGCCAGAACCCCCATCGCATCCCCCTTCTCTACCCTCCGGAACAAAAATATGATCGTGGTAAAAACCACTCATGGTTGTTGATGTTGATGTTGTTAACGGTGATTGTATATGTGAGGTGGGGTGTTAGTTGAATAGTTAGAGTCTAGATTCGAGGAAACCACTAATCATTTAGTAGTTTGTGTGATGGGAGGGAATTAATAGACGGCCTTTGGGGAACGAATCATCGACGTTAAATCAGGCTCTTGTCAATGCAACAATGCACTGAGTTAGCTACCAGGCAGAAGCCCCATGTTGACACCGCATATCCTTTGCATCCTTTGAACTAAACGTCATTCTCTGCTTTCTGGAGTAAAAACTACTTAATAACTACCTGATGCTTAAGTACTAATCGTTTGCTGAAGCTCGAGTCTCGTCAGATTAGCCATCCCATTACCCACCAGCCATTAACCTTGCATAAATCCCAAAAACCATAAAGGCAAGCCAGCTCCTAAAACGGCCAGAGACCAGACGAGGCTCATTCATTACTTCCATCCGTGTTCAGAGTCTCCGAATCACTATCATTCATCTCTTTCAGCTTCAGCTGAGCCTCATACATGATCGGATCCGCATGTGCTCGATTCAGCCACTCTAGCATATGCTTCCAAGCGCGCGGCATGATACACTCCACATGCTGCATCTCCCCAGATGAGTAGCAGTTACAGCCATGTCGACGGGAGCCCGGGACCAAGCAACCCTTTGGTGCGTCAGAGATAACATAGGCACGACAGCGGGAAGAAATGAAGGCAAGGAACGAGTCCGAGATCTCATCATGGACAGCCAGTTCAACGTCGGTGGAGTGGAGAGGGTTGGTAAGAACAACAGCAGAAATATATCCACGCCATGCCTCCCCTTTTTGAATTGATTCATATATTAGCCGTAGTTCAGACGGAGGTTCACACTGATCTCAATACAATAGCACTTACAATTTAGAGATAAGTGGCGAATTGCGCCCTGGCCCCCTTCAGCGATTCCGACGATGCTGATTTTAGCATCGTGGCGCACCAAGCGTCCGCGGTCAGCTAGGATTTCATTAAAGACACAAGAGATGTGATCTTCCCAGCAGCCGTTGTCAGGGATCTTGTTTCTATGGGTCATCATCAGGGGAGGGTCAACGGCTGAGGGACGAGGATAAGCGAGCCAGGTCGGCAGGGTCATCGGGCGACGAGCACCGCAATGCCAGATTAATTGGCCTGTGTTTGTAAGCACCAGAGCAGTGTCGCCGCGCTTGGGGGCGGACTCAGTGTTGGTTCCCTCTTCATTAGTTTCGGACTGAAGGACGGCTTTGGCAAACGAGACAGCAGAGCCTGCGTTGATGCCATCCACACCTATACTTCGATACGCCCAAATTCCCAGATCCTGTACCGGCTCTCCGAAAACGACAATGATATGAGATGCCGTGGATAGGTTAGATGACACCAGAATCGGAACATGAGCTTCATTCACTTTAGAAGTGAGAGGAAGACGCAGGGTTGTAAGGTTGAGCTCCCGTAGGCGAGAGGCCACGATCTTGCGGATGCACTCTAGAATGTTTACCAGTGTTAGACACCTCAGGTTGCAAGATACTTTGGGAGAAATAGGTATCTCATCTCATTAGGACGCACCACTCATCGCCTCTCTCTGCATGTCATTGACGCGGGCATTTTTGTTGATCTTGTACTGAAACTCCTGCGTAGGATCCGCGATCTTTCTGATCTGATAGTTCTCATTGATGAAGTATCTAGTTGTCATTCTTCGCTTAGTGTTTGGTCATAACTGCGAAGGAAGCCTCGAGTCCATACCCTAATTTCTCAAGGTCCGCAGGAAACTCGTGCTCGGGTGGGAGGTCTTCACGACGGTAGACAAACATCTTGCTGGCTTTTTGTTCTTTTTATTGTAAGAAAAGACAAGAGAGCACAGGATCGGTGCTATTATAAAAAAGAGAAGAATGAGAGGAGAAGCTGTTTCAGTGAGAGTAAAGGTGCTAGAGTTGGTTAGTCGTTGTTGTATTGCAAACGCATGGAACACAGTGAATCAGACCACAGATTGAATAAATTCATGCAAACGGATATCCATTGTTAGCCTTGAACGCCTGATCACAGGGCTTGTACTACACACTCATGATATATAGCTTCTTTGTAGGCTTATTAGACCTTCGCTTATACTCTTTAGGTTTAAGATATCTCTATCAAAAGCATCCTTGAGCTGCTATTTGAACACCGCAGTCAAAAATATGATGACTGATGTACAGATCGAAGACGGCTAGTCAAGCCTTAGACTTCAAATACATGGCAGTGGATTTGTGATGACATATTGAGTGAAGGATGTCATTTAAGAACAGATTAAAACGAGATCTTAGCTAAGGCGGTCTAGTCAAAGCATTTGTACTGTTATTGTGAAGGTATACTCTTGACGAGAGACAAATATTCACCTGTAAGGTGAATCTTTGTCCACGAAACTATGACATGAAGGAAAAGTCCAGGAACAACGAGTGTATTTGCTAATGAATATATGCTAGGTTAAAAGTAGGTTACCTGACGGTGTTGGGTTTGTCCGTGCCCAGCCTTATATAGCACTTGTTTATGGATGATAAAACAAGATGGCTGATCTACTGGAGAACAGATAAATTTGACCAGTTACAATGTACTTCAATTTGGAAAACCTAGCAGACGGTAGCGAACGCTTGATATAAACGAAAAAGTCGTCATAGTCAGCGGAGAAAATCCAACACATATCGTCTATTGAAACCCGGCAGTTGATATATTGTACATCTTCTCGAAAAAAAAAAAAGAAAGTGTGGAATTAAACGCCCTCGTGCAAGCCGGCTGACCCTGTAGCCATGAACATAATAAAAACAATCCGCGGTATATGGACACACTACCAACTGGCCTTCTTCACACCGGGTAGTTCACCAGCCAGTGCCTGTTGACGGAATTGGTACTAAACACGATGTCAGTCAATGCCTGCCACTTCATTAAATGAGTTTGGAGGGAGTTGCTTACTCTAGCAATTCTGAAGTCGCGAATCACACTTCGAGCAATACCACCCGCCACACAGCGGTTCTTGATCTGAGTGGGCCGGGTGTAGGCGTGCATCTGGGAAAGCTGCAACTGAGCCTGGGCACGGGTACGCTGTGGAAGGGAGGTGTTGCGGATGATGTAACGGAGAGCTTGGCTATAAGATAAAAACCAATTGATTAGAGATAGGTCCCCCAAATCCTTGTCAAAAGGGAATGCGACAAAGGTCCAAAAAAAGCCGACTTAGCATACCGTTCAGGCTCGTGCTGCTCGAAAACCTTCCGCTTGGTGTGGTCACGGATGACACGGGCGTTGATAAACCCGCTAAGATCCAGGCGCTTGGATCTGAAGAGCGACATGGTGTATTTTCCTGTGGCTGGTGAACTGCAATAGTCTGGATGTCGGCACTCGATATCTTTTGATAGCGGTTGTGATCGGAGTTCTGGGGTCACGGGAGGATACGCTCTCCGTTCCGAGTCCCAGCACATTTATCCCTGGCAGCCCTCGTACGAAATATTTTTTCATTCATAATGCTCAATGATTAGTCAGTGTGGCCGAGTGGTTAAGGCGATTGACTCGAATTTTCATTCGATATCAATTCCATTCGTGGGCACAGGTTCGAATCCTGTCGCTGACGTCTTATTTTAGTTTTTACCTCACCCTCCACTAACAAGTGTAAATCAGGAGGAGCCTGTCGCTGACGCTTTTTGCTGTTGAGACTTGGAACGCAATCGAGCACTAGGAAGGATCCTGGTCGTTACTTTACTTTTTTGGCTATGCTCGAGGGTGTCTATTCCTAAGTAATGGATAGTTAAACTTAAATCCAGCAATCATATATGCATTTTTCTTCACAAAAGCAATCGATAACGAATATAAAATCGCCCCTAGGAGTTATTATAAACAATTGTATATATATAGATATACGCAATCAACCCTTCAACGCTCGGCCACACCGACCAATCATGAAACACTTACTGTAGCGGCACACGAAACTTGAACAATAGAGACTGCCCGAATTACTGGCTGCACGCCACCTATACAATCATGGATTGAACCCGTTAAGCGCGGGTTGGAAGTCACTGCGTCTGCAGCACTTTATTCAGTCTGTTCCAAGCCGACTGATCAGTCAAGCGATGTCTTGCCAGGCCGGTTCAAGACTGCAAGAGGGACCGAGTTATGTACATACAAAGGACCGAGGTGCTGCGTAAGGTTGACGGGCCGACTTTATATCGGAACCATGACACTTGAATTTCAGGGAAAGAGTTAGACAGCTAAGGAGTAATATGTTTTACCTTTTTTGTCGATTTTATTATAAAAGTCAGTGTAACCGAGTGGTTAAGGGTTGACTCGAATTATCGATTCCGTTCGCGGCGCATTGGTCATGCCGCTAATGCTCTCTCAAAATCCGAATTAGACTTCACTCACATACATATGTCCAATTTTTTCTGCCGGTGACAGCCTTTACTCATACCAGCGAGGCTCTTGAAGTAATCCACGTATAATAACTGCCCTCACAGGCCGAATTTACTAATGGTTGCTATGTACTGGTGTTATATGACATATTTCTCGTATCCCAAGAGACAATACTATAATTTACCATTATCAGCGCCCAAAGGTACGGAGGCGTGCACGGAAAGTTGCCGCTGGGTGGATTGTTTACCACGTGACTAATAGCCAATAGTATAACTTGAAGATGTAGATGTGTAAAATACTATTGGTCTAATACCACGTGATATACTGACACACCCGGCGAGGGCAGTCGGAGCTACAACCCGGGCCACCGATTTACACTTCTTATTGAAGGAGTGAGGCAAAAAATCAAGATAAGACGTCAGCGACAGGATTCGAACCTGTGCCCACGAATGGAATTGATATCGAATGAAAATTCGAGTCAATCGCCTTAACCACTCGGCCACACTGACTTTGGTTAGAAATTGGTGTTTAAGAATGATATATCACACTATAAAACCGCCCAGGTTAGTGACTCAGTGGTGGGATTAAATTGCGGAATTTGCCATTCGTTCAAGAGGCCGACAACCTGTGCGGCCAACTTTACGGAGTAGTGTGAAGACAGTTATCTACGCAAAACGTCCAGAAACTCGCTTTTACAAGTAATGTATGTCAGTATGTCCGAGTGGTCAAGGTGACTCGGACTTTCATATTCGTCATTAATACCATTCGTGGGCATAGCCAACCTGTCGCTGACGACATTTTCTTGCTCCTCGCCGAGACACCTAGGGCAAGGCCACTTTTATTAGCAGATTTGCCCCCTCCGGTGAAAGGTACAATAGTTTTAAGTCTACCGCATACCCTATACTAGAGTGTGGAAGGTTTGTATTGATGTCTTTTGAACTGCTATGGTGAGTCATATGGATCTAGTATTAAAGCTCTCTAGAAGCGCAGGGAATCTACATATTATGCTGGTCTACCTTTTCACTTGACCTCTTACTTATTGAAACTGTGTGGAATTGTATGAAGGATCATAATTAGGAAAAGCACGGTTCTATAGACCCTATTAGCTCAAGTGCTCGCTCAAGATCTGTAGTCTTAGAGGCGTGGCATTGGATTCCTAAATGGCAGCTTCTGCTTCTTTATGATGGAGATCCCTTGCTGAGGCAGTTGTTCAGGTAAATCGGGGGCCCTGCATGCCTTTTCTTTCTCTATATGAATGACTTCCACGGAGTTGACTGGCTTTATATTCATTGATTTTATCAAGCCGGCATCAAGTTAGGTGGTGAATAGACTAAGTAAACCCATCTTACTATAGTAAAGATGAGATGAAAGGCCGAGGCGATATATCTCAACTACTTATGTAACGGCTATCAATCCCCATCCGTTCCGATCTGTTTGATAGGGAGCTCTAGCTCTGGATGACCCTAGTGCAGGTGATTATCATTTACATGAGTTGATGTGGTGATAGTAATCTATATGGCCTACATCAAGTTTACTGGGCTTCCTAAATATTACGGCAAAATGCACACAACCGTGCTATCACCACTCAAGTTTCTCATGCAACTGCATGATAAACCTTCCTTGAGTAGGTCACGGGGATGCAACCTCAACTTGATCAAGCCGGTGGATCGAGTGATCCTTATGGAAAAGAAGCTCTGTAGGAATGGAACAGATTATCCATACGGTGACACTAGGCCTGAGCTCTAGATCATGGAATGTAGCCACCATGCTCCAAGCGACTTCATGAAGCTACCAAGCCAGGAGGACTGAGAAGCAATTAGCAGCGAAAGACAGTTTATATAAAGCTAGCATGAGCGTGTGATAACTATCAGCTACCGCGATGACTTCGCAGCCGAATTACGCGAATGGATATCATTCAAGGCAAAGGAAACAGATGAAACATGTACTGGAAAAGACGACCGTAGCCGTAGTGGTACAACTTGTCAATTCGTCAAAATCTCATGACGGTCTATATGCCTGTACAGAATAACTGTCCGCAAACCGAAATTTGGGCGAAGCAGCAATCCGGATAATCAGCCACCCCCGTATCCTATTTCACCCGTCAAATCGACATTCTCAGATTAACAGAGATTAATTTAGTGCTTGTTGTTCTTGAGGTTGGGGTTGCGGGGGTCGTTCTTGAACTCTCCGGCTGTAGAAGGGAACCATGGTTAGCTATAATTGAGACATTGCGGGAATTGCTAGCATTGAATAGAAAAGCTAGCCCCTATACAAGCAGGAAATCCCCTGAATTTGAAGAACGGGGCGACTCACTGTTGGCGAGAGCGTTGCCGAGGGAGTTGATGCCGTAGAGGATGACAGCGCCTAGAAAGACTCCCGTCAGTATCCGAGATCCAGTACCCTGCGCACTTGTCCAAAACGTATCCCATAGTCGAAATCAAATAAAATGCACGTATTCAAAGAGGGATTTCAATAATGGCGATGCATACCGGCAGCGAAGAAGGGGCCCAGAGGCTTGGCTATAACGAGGTAGGTCAGTCAGCTTTCGACCTGGTTTAAACCAACAAGAATCTTCGATCGGCGCGGTGCCTTACCAATGGGGGTGGGGAACTTCTTTCCGAGGAGAGACATGGTGACAAGTTGTGTATTGCACGGGAATGTCGTAAGAAGATAGAGGTGAGAGGTAGTTGATGTAGGCGGAATACGGTGCAACGAGGACGAGCGGGAACAACGAGTTTTGCCCGGAGGTCCGACTCCCGGCCGCTTTTACCATAGCCGCACGGTCTCGTCGCCGCTTTTATCGCTCCGATAGCCCCTCCGCCTGTAAACAAATGCAGTAGTTAATCATAACTCCAACTTCATACTTTCTACATATACTCACTCAAAAACACTTCTACATTATTGCCCCCTCATATCACCATGGCGGCATCACTAAATGCTTCAGTCACGTCTCTGCAATCCTCTCTACAACTTCTCGACTCATCTATCTCCACTCTTGAGTCTGGTGTTAGTGACTTTCCCCGACTGTGCAAGGTCCTGCAAACGACCCGAGTAAGTGCCGGCAACGTACCTTCCGGAACACGGTAAACGTACTGATAAAAATCCAATCACAGCACTTTGAACTTCTCCCCGAGCCTACGCTCCGCGAAGCACAGCAATCATTACTTGATGAAATTACTCCCAGCATCGGACACTTGTTATCATTAGCGTCAAACCACGTTGAAAAGCTCTCTCGTCGCGAACAAGCTCTCCGAGCAAAAGCCGAGCTGCAGGAAGGCAGAATGTACTCCAGCGAGAGCCGCCAAACCTCAAGTCGTAGCCAGAATGCCTATGGAGATCGACAAAAGGCCAATGCTGCAAAAGCGGCAGAGTTCAGGCGGTTGGTACAGAAGAAGGAACGGCTGAAATATGCCGTCGAGAGATTGGAGTTGCAGAGTAAACAGCGCGAACGTCAGTTGAGAAAGAGCATGGCCGCCCAATAAGTCTGCACTCAAAGGGTGAAAACTATAGCAACAGCGCAAAATAGTTGCAACTACGTCATCCCTATTATTCAAGACACCTGCCATTATACTCGGTGAAGCTACCAGAGCTCGACAACTCGGCTTCAATGGAAGTAGGTCGCTGTCATCGCCGAGCAGCGTTGAGACTTACCTTTAACATACGTCTACTATTTAGTGCCCACGGTGCATAGTGTTCGACATGCGCTACTAATGCATAAAGCCGAAGGTTGGTGATGCGAAAGTAGAGTCTTTCGATCTACCGTCATCCGCCAACAATTGCTTGATCCCTCATGATAGGATTTGGCGGGCACCTTCAGACCATTTGCGTCTTCCCGTGAAACAGCCGTTGCAATTGTCTTCGGCAGTCCATGAATTATATAAGGAGCTGCTAATGCTGTATGTGAGAGGAATATTGGTCACATTGGAATTGAGTGAAGAGCTCAATAAGCCATAAAGTTGTGGTCTAATTACATATATCCGTTATTTATGATACATTTATAATACATCTTTCAGAATTTGAAGCCCAATTGCCTGTACCGAGATATGAACCATTTATGCGCCGTAGCCCTATGCCTTTGTGTTTCCCGCCAGCCGATGAACTATGCAAACGAAGCTTTCAAACTAAAAAGTCATCCTGCGCTACTTTCGCAGCGGCATGCTTCTTCGAAGCCTGTCTCACCTTCTTCTTGTCCGCATGCTTCTTCCAGCTAGGGATCGTTTGGCCCTTCTTTCTCTGCGGAATCGGCACCTCAGGCCAATCAGAACCCTCGGACTGCTGCTCAAGTTCACCTTCCTCGGCTAAATCGGCTCTAAGGGCTGCCCGCCTAGCCAAACGTTCTTTCTTGCCTTCGCCGTGCTTATCACCGAGTCTCAAGCTTCTTGGGATGCGGGTCTTCGCGCCAAGAGCCCACAGATCTCCCCAGTTTGACTTGCGAGCGTCTTTGTATGCCCGACGGCTATAGGAGCGGGGAACCGTCCAGCGCTCAATCTTTCCAGCAGGCGTACAAAAATCGAAGATGACATGTCCGCGGCGTTTCATTGGAGGATACACAATACGAGGAAGAGACAAGGTGTGGAAATTCTCGGGTCTCGCTTGTTCGCTTGCCTCAGGCTGGGAACCAGTAGTTTCGTCTGATGCTTCCATTTCTTCTATAGCTGTGTCGTGTAGATCTTCGTAGCCAGCAAAAGCCGCTTCGGTAGCTTCTGGGCCTTGTACAATACCCTGCGTCTTACGCAAGTCGATGCCACGTTGTACAGCGATATAACTGAACTTCACATCTTCGTGGTTCCGATCCTTCGCTCCCAAGATACGCTGGAGGAATGATGGTCTGATATATCTTTGTTGGAAATGGCAATAATCTTTGCGTCCCTTGGAATGGCCTGGAGTGTTGAACATGGGGCATTTCTCATGGTTAGTGCAGGGCGCAACGATCATTCCGGGTTCCTTCTCAATATGTGAATCCTCAATTGGCGACTCGGTGAAGTTGGTATATTCTGTAGAGCCAGGGCTTGATACGAGACGCTTAAGGATCATCTCACGGGCTCCGGCAATTGCTTCGAATCCTTTCTGGTGTCCCTTCTCGAGAAGGATTAGAACACCGCCATCAGGGTTGAGGAGATTCCAAAGGTTCTCCACGTGCTCTTTGCGTAAGAACTCCTCCTCTATGCCGAGCAAACTATGGGGAGCCACGATAATATCGTACTGCTTTCGCTTTGGAGGAGCTCTCTCATCATCTAGAGTTGGTTTTTCGCGGATGTGAACATAGTCAGGCAAGCGCGGTAGGAACGAAGTGTTCTCCAACAATAAACTAGCACGCATTCGAAGGGCATCCGAACCAGTCACAACAGTCGATCTACCCACAGGATAAGGACTTGCCCTGGGATGGTCTGGAACCATAGACTCCCACTCTGCACGAATGACATCTCGCCAAGCAAGGACACCGGCACCACCAGCACTCGCATCAAGGATATGCGGGCCATCTTCTTTCGAGATAAGCCCACGTAACCAC